ATCACGCACGCACGATATATGGTGCATCATTTTAGTGGGTACATATATATATATATATATATATATATATATATATATATATATATATATATATATATATATATATATATATATATATATATATATATATAATGGTTTAATTTTGCTCTTTCAAGTTAGGTTCCCCTGGTGCAGAGTCAATCTAGCTGCCGCTTTAGGAACGATGAAAAGCGTACGCACTGGCGCTGATAAATCGTGAGACCGGCCTAAGGGCGTATAGTACAGCATAGTCACAAGGAGTGCAGCATAGTCAAAGAAGTACAACATAGTCACAAGGAGTACAGCATAGTCATAGAAGGGCACCTACCTTGAGGTTACCTTGAGGTGCTTCCGGGGCTTAGCGTCCCCGCGGCCCGGTCGTCGACCAGGCCTCCTGGTTGCCGGACTGATCAACCAGGCTGTTGGACGCGGCTGCTCGCAGCCTGACGTATGAGTCACAGCCTGGTTGATCAGGTATCCTTTGGAGGTGCTTATCTAGTTCTCTCTTGAACACTGTGAGGGGTCGGCCAGTTATGCCCCTTATGTGTAGTGGAAGCGTGTTGAACAGTCTCGGACCTCTGATGTTGATAGAGTTCTCTCTCAGAGTACCAGTTGCACCTCTGTTTTTCAACGGGGGTATTCTGCACATCCTGCCATGTCTTCTGGTCTCACGTGATGTTATTTCTGTGTGCAGGTTTGGGACCAGCCCCTCTAATATTTTCCACGTGTAAATTATTATGTATCTCTCCCGCCTGCGCTCAAGGGAGTACAGTTTTAGGCTCTTTAGTCGGTCCCAATAGTTTAGATGTTTTACTGAGTGGATTCTAGCAGTAAAGGATCTCTGCACGCTCTCCGGGTCAGTAATTTCTCCAGCTTTGAAAGGTGCTGTCATTGTGCAGCAGTACTCTACTCTAGAGAGCACAAGCGTTTTGAAAAGTATCATCATCGGTATGGCATCTCTAGTGTGAAAAGTTCTTGTTATCCAACCTGTCATTTTTCTTGCAGTTGTGACGGCTACTTTATTGTGTTCTTTAAAGGTAAGGTCTTCCGACATGAGTACACCCAGATCCTTTACATTGCCTTTTCGTTCTATGTTATGATTTGCCTGAGTTTTGTACGTGGTTTCTGTTTTTATATTTTCATTTTTTCCATAGCGCATGAGCTGGAACTTATCTTCGTTAAACACCATATTATTTTCTGTAGCCCATAGAAAGACCTGATCTACATCTGACTGGAGGTTCGCCGTGTCCTCTATGTTGCCTACTCTCATGAAGATCCTAGTGTCATCTGCAAATGATGATACAGTGCTATAGGTTGTGTTCTTGTCTATGTCCGAAATGAGGATGAGAAAAAGTACTGGAGCAAGCACAGTACCCTGGGGGACTGAGCTCTTCACGGTTGATGGGCTGGATTTTATTTTGTTGACTATTACACATTGGGTTCTGTTGGTCAGGAAATTGTAGATCCATCTGCCTATTTTTCCTGTAATTCCTTTTGAACGCATTTTATGTGCAATAACACCATGGTCACATTTATCAAAAGCTTTTGCGAAATCTGTGTAAATTACATCCGCGTTTTGTTTGTCTTCCATAGCATCTAATGCCATATCATAGTGGTCCAGCAACTGCGACAGGCAAGAGCGCCCTGTTCTGAAACCATGTTGTCCGGGGTGATGGAGTTGCTGTGATTCCATGTATTTTGTGATTTTACTTCTTAGCGCACTCTCAAAAATTTTTATGATGTTATTTTTTAAATTTTTATTATGTTAGTGCTATCGGTCTGTAATTTTTTGCCTCTGCCTTATTTCCTCCTTTATGAAGAGGTGCTATCTCTGCTGTTTTTAGTATATCAGGAATAACGCCAGTATCTAGGCTTTGTCTCCACAGAATGTGGAGGGCCTGCGATAGTGGTTTTGTACAGTTCTTTATGAATATGGAGTTCCAAGAATCCGGGCCTGGTGCAGAGTGCATAGGCATACTGTTTATGGCTTCTTCAAAATCCAGTGGGGATAGGGTGACGTCTGATATATGATTTGATGTTGGTATCGTATCCATGAAAAATTCATTTGGGTTATCAATCTTTAGTGTGTGTAATGGCTCGCTGAAAACAGAGTCGTACTGCGTCCTCAGTAGCTCGCTCATTTCTTTGTTGTCATCGGTGAAAGTTCCATCTTCCTTTCGCAGGGGCCCGATACTAGATATGGTTTTTGATCTTGATTTTGCATAGGAGAAAAAATATTTCGGATTTCTTTCTATTTCACTGATGGCCTTTTGCTCTCTTTGCCTCTCCTGGGTTTTGTATGATTCTTGTAGCTTCCGTTCAATTGTTTCTATTTCTCTACCTAACCTTCTTCGCCGTTCTTGAGATAGGGTGCGACTCTCAAGTTGTTCCGCGATTTGCAGGGCAGAGTGAACATCCACACCGAAGACGGTTACCGCGACTCCATGTTGATGAAATATTGCTGGCTGTAAGGCATACTGTCAATTATCAACACTAACACCTTGTTTTGCTAGTGGTGGAGTGACGTAGCGTTGACAGTGACTGTAGGGCGTGTCAATAATTACTAATATTTCTTACATCATTCAACTTGGGCCTACCTCGACTAGCCTATGCCTGTCCCGTACCCCACACCATTCTTCCTATATATTTGAGTGAGGCTAGCCCCAAGCGTCTGGCTTCCAACTCTGGACATTCTCTCTGATGGTAATCCTCAGTTTATGGAGCCCGTCCCCATCAACACGGGCTAAAATGTTCAAGTGATGTTCGAACATGTCTTGAACAATGCTTGGTGTGATGTGCAGCAAGACACTCCGGGGTGTGCAGTGATGCAACGGAACACCCCGAGGGCGGTGGTGGCCCAGTTCGAGTTACAGCCCCGCTCCTGTGCCAGGTAAGTCCACTACGGGTTCACCACAGCCCGTGCTACTTGCCCCGTTCCTGTGCCAGGTAAGTCCACTACGGGTTTACTATAGCCCGTGCTACTTGCCCCGTTCTTGTGCCAGGTAAGTCCACTACGGGCTCACCATAGCCCGTGCTACTTGCCCCGCTCCTGTGCCAGTTATGTCCACTACGGGTTTACTATAGCCCGTGCTACTTGCCCCGTTCTTGTGCCAGGTAAGTCCACTACGGGCTCACCATAGCCCGTGCTACTTGCCCCGCTCCTGTGCCAGTTATGTCCACTACGGGTTCACCACAGCTCGTGCTACTTGCCCCGCTCTTGTGCTAGGTAAGTCCACTACGGGATCACCACAGCCCGGGCTACTTGCCCCGCTCCTGTGCCAGGTAAGTCCACTACGGGATCACCACAGCCCGTGCTACTTGCCCCGCTCCTGTGCCAGTTATGTCCACTACGGGTTTACTATAGCCCGTGCTACTTGCCCCGTTCTTGTGCCAGGTAAGTCCACTACGGGCTCACCATAGCCCGAGCTACTTGCCCCGCTCCTGTGCCAGGTAAGTCCACTACGGGATCACCACAGCCCGGGCTACTTGCCCCGCTCCTGTGCCAGGTAAGTCCACTACGGGTTCACCACAGCCCGGGCTACTTGCCCCGCTCCTGTGCCAGGTAAGTCCACTACGGGATCACCACAGCCCGTGCTACTTGCCCCGTTCTTGTGCCAGGTAAGTCCACTACGAGATCACCACAGCCCGGGCTACTTGCCCCGCTCCTGTGCCAGGTAAGTCCACTACGGGCTCACCATAGCCCGTGCTACTTGCCCCGCTCCTGTGCCAGTTATGTCCACTACGGGTTCACCACAGCTCGTGCTACTTGCCCCGCTCTTGTGCTAGGTAAGTCCACTACGGGATCACCACAGCCCGGGCTACTTGCCCCGCTCCTGTGCCAGGTAAGTCCACTACGGGATCACCACAGCCCGTGCTACTTGGAACGTTTTGTTCCGAGTAGCTGAACCTGAAACGACAAGGGTGGCCGAGGATGTTGGTGAGTGGGTACCCATGCCGGTGCAAGGCTTCCCCGGACCCTGATTAACTCGCTACCATGATAGCTACTCCCCACTGTTAAACCATATCCGCTACAACACAAGCATCTCTTGCCCTACTGGTGCTGGTGATTTTGTTGTGGTTGTGGTGGTGGTGATTTTGTCGTGGTTGTGGTGGTGGTGATTTTGTCGTGGTTGTGGTGGTGGTGATTTTGTCGTGGTTGTGGTGGTGGTGATTTTGTCGTGGTTGTGGTGGTGGTGATTTTGTCGTGGTTGTGGTGATTTTGTCTTGGTTGTGGTGGTGGTGATTTTGTCGTGGTTGTGGTGATTTTGTCGTGGTTGTGGTGGTGGTGATTTTGTCGTGGTTGTGGTGATTTTGTCGTGGTTGTGGTGGTGGTGATTTTGTCGTGGTTGTGGTGGTGATTTTGTCGTGGTTGTGGTGGTGATTTTGTCGTGGTTGTGATTTTGTCGTGGTTGTGGTGGTGATTTTGTCGTGGTTGTGGTGGTGATTTTGTCGTGGTTGTGGTGGTGGTGATTTTGTCGTGGTTGTGGTGGTGGTGATTTTGTCGTGGTTGTGGTGGTGGTGATTTTGTCGTGGTTGTGGTGGTGGTGATTTTGTCGTGGTTGTGGTGGTGGTGATTTTGTCGTGGTTGTGGTGGTGGTGATTTTGTCGTGGTTGTGGTGGTGACTTTTTCGTGGTTGTGGAGGTGATTTTGTCACTGTGGCTGTGGTTGGTTGATTTAGAACACGTTCGTGGTGTCCCGTCTTCCCAGTACTCTTTGTCATATAACGCTTTGAAACTACTGTACTGATGGTTTTGGCCTCCACCACCACCTCACTTAGCTTGTTCCGTCTACCACTCTGCAAAAGAAAACTTTCTAATATTTTTTTCTGCACGTTTGTTCCATTAGCTTGATTCTGTGTCCTCGTGTCCTCTTGTTCGTGAAGTTGCTGATTTCAGGAATTCCTCTTTTGTCAATTTGGTTGATTCCTATTAATATATTGTAAGTGGTGATCATCTCTCTTTTTCTTCTAACTTCTAGTTAAAAAAATGTGGAACGCTTCACGATTTTGTGTCATCCTTGCGCAGGGGCCATGCTAATTTTTTTTTTTTTTTTGAGATATATACAAGAGTTATTACATTCTTGTACAGCCACTAGTACGCGTAGCGTTTCGGGCAAGTCCTTAATCCTATGGTCCCTGGAATACGATCCCCTGCCGCGAAGAATCGTTTTTTCATCCAAGTACACATTTTACTGTTGCGTTAAACAGAGGCTACAGTTAAGGAATTGCGCCCAGTAAATCCTCCCCGGCCAGGATACGAACCCATGACATAGCGCTCGCGGAACGCCAGGCGAGTGTCTTACCACTACACCACGGAGACTGCAAATCTTTGTATCGTTCCAGTTTGAGTATATGTGCTGCCAAAGCGAGAACAACAAGATAGAACCTAGGGTAGACAGCAATACAAGAAGAAAAATTTATTGATAAAATTATTAGATTAGGAGAAGATCTCACAAGAAAGGATAATGTTAGGGATTATAGAAGAAGAGGTATATATCAAAAGGTGAAAATTTACCCTTAAGGATGACTAAATGGAGTGAAACATATGAAATTTTTTTGGCAATTTTCAAGTAATTCTAGCTTAGAATTGTTAGAAAACTGCAAAATAAAGATAGGAAAATGTGGTCATTAAGGAGAGAACTCTCAAAGGAAGACAGGGAAACTGAAATGACCTCAATGAAGTAAAATAGTTAAATGAGAGCAGAAATGAGGAAGAATGTTTTATCAACAAGATGATAGGAATTGGAGAGCCAATGAAATGAAAAACACGAAAAAGCTAACAAAGGTAATAGAAAAAGAGGGAGCTGGGGGGGGGAAATGGATAGATTGCAGGTTTAAAAAAAACAAAAACATTCAAACATAGGTGGGGTAAGTGAAACAATTTGTAGTTACAGGATATAATATAGCTAAAAATCTCTGATATTGTCACAGTGGCAGAAACTGAACTTGTAGAATCTTTAAACAAGATGACATTCTAAATGAGCAATTTAATTTAGAGACATGATACAAAGCAGAACAGGTGGCGGTAAAGCTGCACTAAACAGAATCTGAATGTTAAAGAACTATTTAATTCTTAACAATCCAAGAGATGTGGACATAGTAGCCCTGGAGATATGCAGCCAGAAATATAAAAAAAAAATCATTAGTGCCTACAATGCAAGAGCAAACAGCAATTGTTCAAGGAAGAGACAGACAACAAAAGAGAGGGTATTATAATGATTTTGAGTGAGGTAATTAAAAATCGGACTTTTTATTATATTATATATATATATATATATATATGTCGTACCTAGTAGCCAGAACTCACTTTTTGGCCTACTATGCAAGGCCCGATTTGCCCAATAAGCCAAGTTTTCCTGAATTAATATATTTTTTCTAATTTTTTCTTATGAAATGATAAAGCAACCCATTTCATTATGTATGAGGTCAATTTTTTTTTATTGGAGTTAAAATTAACGTAGATATATGACCGAACCTAACCAACCCTACCTAACCTAACCTATCTTTTTAGGTTAGGTTTGGTTAGGTAGCCGAAAAACTTAGGTTAGGTTAGGTAGTCGAAAAACAATTAATTCATGAAAACTTGGCTTATTAGGCAAATCGGGCCTTGCATAGTAGGCTGAGAAGTGCGTTCTGGCTACTAGGTACGACATATATATATATATATATATATATATATATATATATATATATATATATATATATATATATATATATATATATATATATATATATATATATATATAGGGGGGTACCACCACTGGTGCAATTATAGGGACCCACAGCCTCAGAGAAGGGAACACAGAGCATTCAGGGAAAAACTTGCCATTTAACTCTGAATACGTAAGTGTGTTCGCTTCTCCTACCACCCCCTTTTTTTTATGGTGTACACTTTATTATGCAAGGTTATACAGTTACATATCTGATTTTATACAAAAAATTAACATTAAGAGGACACAAAAAAAAAGTTCGTTTCTTAGAGGCTGTAGATTTCCTCGAACTCCTCCGACGCCGGGCATGAACCGAGGATGCAGCGAGCATTCCCCCTCTGGATCGCGACACTGAGGCGCTGAAAGAGAAAACTTGCTGCTCTAGGGTCTCTTGTGGTGTCAATGAGCTTGGAACCAAGATCCTTAAGAAACCTTCTTGCACTCTCTCCCCATGGGCCTAGGGTCTCAGACCCTATTGGAACGAAGTTGTACCGATGATCTAATTGCCTGTACCTACATCATATACCTATATATATATATATATATATATATATGAGAGTTCTTACATTCTTGTAAAGCCACAAACATAGTGTTTCGGACAGGTCCTTATCTTAATTTTCTCTGGAATATGACCCGCCAAATCATTTAGCAAACAGGTACCCGTTCACTGCTGGGTGAACAGAGGCATACAGTTAAAGATTGGCAGCTAATCAATCCTCCCCAGCCAGGATACAAACCTTGGCCAAATCCCTTGCAAAGCACGGGGCGAGTGTGTTACCACTGCAGCACAGGGACTGCAAAAGCATGATTGAATGCACTTTGAGACTTCAGTATGAAATTAATAAACTAGGAGGCCTACAATACAACAATAAATGATTTCTCAACTAGGAGATTCATGAACCCTCTTTCTGGAGGTATTCATGTATCAGCATTACTGTATCTGAATTTACCTAAGGGCCACTATCTGGTGGCATCGATGAGTACAGGAAGTTTGCAACTAGTCAAAGGTTCCCTTTCAAAGGTTCCCACCCATTTGTGATGATGATTTCATCAAGCTGGGGAGCCGGTCGGGCGAGCGGACAGCACATTGGACTTGTAATCCTGTGGTCTCGGTTTTGATCCCGGGTGCCGGCGAGAAACAATGGGCAGAGTTTCTTTCACCCTATGCCCCTGTTACCTAGCAGTAAAATAGGTACCTGGGTGTTAGTCAGCTGTCACGGGCTGCTTCCTGGGGGTAGAGGCCTGGTCGAGGACCGGGCCGCGGGGACACTAAACCCCCGAAATCATCTCAAGATAACTTCAAGAACCTGGATTTTGAATTGCAGCAGTGTTTTGGCATTTAAGATTTCAGCAGGTATTAGATTTCATGGGTTTATAACCCTATGAGTGAAAAAGCATCTCCTGTTTTCTGTCCTACATTGAGCCTTTTTGAGGTTGAAACAGTTGCTCATTGTTTGTGTATCATTTGACCTTTTAACGAAGTTGTCTGGATCAATATCTTCCAAACTGTTCAGTATTTTAAAAGATTCAATGAGATCAGCTCTGTCATGTCTGGGTTGTAGAGTCATTAGCCCTGTGGCCCACAACAATATCTGGTATGAGAGTCAACTTGGTTCTGAAAAGATATTTGTTGTCCAGAGTTGAACTTTCTCCAAAGCAATTATGTCTCTGAAGATGAGGTATCCATGCTTGGATAAAATAATCCAAGTGGGGGTGCACCCTTCTACTTTACCATAAATTTTAAGCATCATTTGCAAATTCAATGTTATATAACCAACAAAAATGAGGGAAGATGTTCCACCAAAGCTGCATCTAATATTTTCCAGGAAACAGAAAGATTTTTTATATACAGTACCTTCCTCCAGCAGGCAAGAGTGATAATGTATTCTCAGAAGTAAAATACTATACACAATAAAGTATAACATAAAATAACAGAAGTGAAACAACAACAAAACTCTACTATAAGAAAGGAAAATATGGGAGTCTTAGGTGTTCTTAAATGGGTTTGACTGGAATGGTTTGTTATTATGAAGGAAATGAGATGTATGCTAAATTTTATGAGATATATGATGTAGGTACCCAAGTATTTATACCCAAACAGAGAAGCAAATACAGGTATTGTGAGAAAGCCAAAGAACAAAAGCCAGGGGTGTGGAGCTAGTTTAGCTTATACAGTAATATAAAAAGCTCTGCAAATCAATATTAAGAAAGAAGTAAACCAGCATTTTGTACCAAGCCATCTGCACAAGGCGAGTCTCTGCTGAACCCAGCGGCGTGAGCCAACCATCGGGAGGAGTTATATAGGCCTTCCCTCCCATCTGTTTGCATTTGCGGGCATCCAGCTTACACTCATCCAATTACCGTCTCAATTTTGTGAGTGCAATCCAATACAGTATACAGGCATACCTCAGAATAAGAGTTTAATCCGTTCCTGGAGACGCCTCGCCTTCCGAAAACTCGCATTCCGAAGTTAATTTCCCCATAAGAAATAAAGGGAAATGAATTAATCCGTTCCTGACTACCCCAAAAACCCCACATCAAACTAAATTTTTATACCTAATTTACCTAATTCATCTAAATAAACCTACAAAACTGTGTTCCAGTTATTACTTACCTTGCTGTCGAGTGCTGTAGGCGTATGGAAGATGGTGAGGAGGGGGGAGGAGGAGAGGAGTTACTGTTTGGAAGGGGAGTCCCCTTCCATAATCACATCACATAACCCCATGCCTTGTAACACTATGGATACCACTTCTCTTTCTAAATTTTTCAAACCAGCCCCTGCTTGCCTTAAACTCTCTTATCTGCATCACTCGTTGCAGGGGTATTCTTTAGAAGGTCTTCGTGCAACACCCTGGCTTTCTCACAAATAATGGCCTCCGAAACACTATCACCCCTCAACTCCTTGTCGTGTATCCAAATTAATAACAACTTTTCCACTTCAAGTATTTGTGGTCTTTGTGCCGTCAATGTTCTTACTCCTTTTGCCACTTTAGCACCCATAATCTTATTTTTCTTCTTAAGTATAGTGCATATTGTTGATGTGGCTTTGTTGTACTGCCTACAAAGTTCAACAACACGTGTACCGTTCTCATGCTTCCGAATGATCTCTTGTTTCTCCTCTATTGTCATCCTCACATGAGCTTTCTGGCCTTTATCCTTACCACTGGCTTTCTTGGGACCCATGGTGAGATATATAATAACAAATTGTATAGACAAATCACCCAAAATCCAACAAAACACTGAAAATCCGCGAGAAGAATTGATGTGGGGGTAGTCACTGAGCGCGAGACAATGGTAAACTGAGGGGCGGAGGGGCGACGATCGCCGAACCACCACGCGCTAGGTCGGCCTGTACGCGTATCAACAAACTCGCGTCCCGAAGTAACCCTCGCCTTCTGAGACAAATTTTTGGAGTAAATACTGATCGCCTTCCGAAAACCTCGCATACAGGGACAATCGCTTTCCGAGGTACCACTGTACAGTATATGGTCTCAATGGTAAAGTACAGTACTCAAGTCATATTTTTGTCATGATTAGTTTCCCCACTGACACTGTGATTTCAACCTCTCTCCCCAGTAAACTTCACCTTTTCCCAGTGCTAAGGTGTTAGTACTTGAAATAATTAATAATTTACCTAGGAGAGGGAAAATAGCTTGGCGAGTGAATACAGAATTAACAATGTGTAGACTGATATATGTAACAGCTGGTCAAAGCTATGGTTAAATTAGTTTCTCTCTGGCTAAGGTTAATCAAATGTTGATGTTGGAAAAGCTGTGAAGGATTAAGTTGTTGTAGAAATTGAGATATACATGTGGGAGAAGCTGAATGCAAAGTTGTATTTCTTTAAAGTTTAATACATTTAAAGTAAAATAGATAAGAAAGACTAGTGTTTTCCTCAAGTCCTGTGATAGATAAATGCCACCGATAGATATATGCCCTTGACCAACTACAGTATTGACCTTCCCCAAGATGAGAAACCACAACAGTTGCCTAACTCGCTGGTACCTATTTGGGCAAACAGAGACATCAGGTGAAAGGAAACTTTGGCTTGTCACAACAGATACCATATTGTTTCTGCTTCCCAGGTGGAGGCAGAAACAAATGGGCAGAGTTTATTTCATCCTGATGCACCTGTTCACCTAGCAGCAAATAAGTACCTGGGAGTAGACAGCTGCTACGGCTGCTTCCTGGGTATGTGTAACAAAAAAGGAGGCCTGGTCAAGGACCGAGCCACGGGGACACCTGAAATCATCTCAAGATAACCTCAAGATAACCACTCACGCCCTCCTTTTTCATTCACCCTATGTTTACATAGCAAAATCTAGTGAGGTTTACATAGCAAAATCTTAAGCTCTACATTGTTCTATAAAATAACCCTAGAATGCATACTGTACATACAATACTCATAGAAATATTTGTAAAAAGAAAAAAAAAATGGGCCAGTTTTGCACCACCGACTCAGCCATGATGATACAAAAGTTGAAATATCGGGTTAAGAGTTCAATGCAGTGACAAAAATTATACCAGTACTAATTTATCTCTCATACAAGGGAAGATTCAGGGCCTCAAGGCCCAAGGCTGATATGCTACATAACAGACATGATGAGGCTGAACTCACCGAGACCTTTAAAATACTGAACAAACTGGAAGATATTAATCCAGACCATTTTTTTTAAAAAGTACAGTGTAACTCATATGAGGATTAACAGCTTCAAGCTCAAGAAGCCAAATTGTCGGGCAGAAACACAGCAGAAAAACCCATGGAATTGCTACCCGGTGAACCCATAAATGCCAAGATTGAGTTCAAAATGCTGGAAAATAAAATCCACCACCTTCCTATTCCTGTCAAGTCCACCAGAGATGGTGTCCCTCAAATAAAAAAAAACAGATAAATATAAACATAAAATAATACACAAAACAATTAGCCTTCACCAGCTTCCTCTATTGTTATACAGTATTGTATTCATGTAATGCATGACACAAATAAATACGGTCATCTCTCTCACATTACTTTTCTTAATTCACATGATTCAAAGTTTAAAAATTGATTGATTTAATTATACAAGAAGGTACAATGGGTTAGGAAAGTACACAAGTAGGTGATTAAGCCGTACATTCCAGAAAAGCCACTAACACGCACAGCATTTTGGCCCGACCCTTAGTAACGGAATATATTAATACACAAAATAACGTCAATAAATGATACAACTGTTGTTAATATTAAAACAAACTGAACAGAGTTTTATCACTGTGAAGTACAAAAATATGATACAAATGGTGACAAAACCATAATGAAAAAAAAATGTAGACTATGCCTATCAACGTAGAGACGCCAATAGCTCGACTCGCAAGGCTACGTGCCAAAATAGCCTTGTACTGTTGTTCGCATTGCATAGCAATCCATACCACATAGGCCTATGGTTACTATATTTGCATTGTGATACAGTCTGTTATTATATTGGTCCTGCCACAATGACAATGGTCTATTCTCACCGAATCCTATATATATTGATATAGCCGTAATTCCCTACCCCTAATTGTCTTGAGACACGATTCTACGGTCTTATACAAGGCAACTATCTGCAACATTTCCTAATTAAGCAGCTACAGTGGAGTTTTTACCTCAGGAAATGGGCGGGGATGTGTTCAACTTACCTTGCAAGTGGTCCAGATCTCTTGGCTTTAGAGCTCAAGATCTTCTCCACCACCTGGAAGTTGCCATTCCGAGCAGCTTCTAGCAAATCGGCGTCCTTACCCATCTTAGTTTATTATCTACAACACATATCTGAGCTATTAATGGAGTATATACACTGTAATTCGTCAAAAGCATTGATCAACAGCAGCCATCACTGACAACTGGTGGTGCTGCCATCTAGGGGGCGGCTCCCTCACTTTCCTCGTATCCTCCAAGATGTCTTTACATCTACTATATCCTTAATAAAACTGTTCTATTCAGCGCTCTTTGGTAATCTAGGAACTATATGCTTTATTACAATTGTAAAATTGTAAATGTAATTTCTTTTAGTATTCATTTTATATGTATTTTTAAAGTATATCTCAGAGGCAGAAGACATCTTTGAGAGAATGCAGTAGCTGCCACCATAGTGTTGTCCAATCAGCTGATTATGGATGTAAACAGACGCAGCAGCCTGGCTCTGCTGGACCTGACTTGCAAAGCTGTTCTGAACCAACTGGACCTGACTGGCAACACGTTGATAACGCTACTAAACAAGATTGGCAAGGCTCCTCCGAGCCTGTTGGATCTGACTGACAAGGCGCCTTTACCACCAGCTAGAGCAGAGTAATAAGGCTGCCCTGTGTGTCGCTGCACCTGACTGGCAAGGCACCAGTAAATCAGACTGGCAAGGGTCTTTTTAACTTCCAGCTGGCAAATCTTGGCAAGCCTGCTCCATCACCCCGCTGGCCATGTAGCTATGAGGTCCCAGGGAAGAATTCTCGGGTATTGGCTATGCCTGTGTCTTTTTTTCAGTGTCCCAGCTGGTTCTTCCAGCGAGAAGGTTAGTGTGGAACGAGGAAAGACTGAGGGGACCAACATAGGCGACAATACTCAGAATCGGACATGGTGTGAAGCTAGCAGTGGTAAGAGGTCTTTACTTGGTCATTTTTGCTTAGCTTGCATTTAACTCTTGCGATTCTGGTGTCTCGGACAATCTTCCCCCCTCGTCTGTGCAAAACTAATACAGACTAGTACTTACCAGTCTATTGGTGTCAGGCAATCAGAAAGGAGCGGCTCACATTGCTTCCAGACACACTGTATGTGGTGAATAATATGCGAGAAAGGATGGGTGTTTATACAGTGGCACCTCGATTAACGAGTTTAATCCATTCCGACATCGAGCTCGTCATGTGGAAAACTCGTCTTGCGAAACAACAAAACTGTCATAAAAAGGTGTCTGAGAACCAGCAGAAATTCTCGTTAATCGAGGAAAAGCTCGTTAGTTTAGACAAATGTTCTGCAAGTGGCTCACTCGTTACTCGAAATGCTCGTAGATAGAGCCGCTCATTAATTGAGGTGCTACTGTACATGGATTGACCTTTGACAAGCCACTGGCTTCCTATCCCTTTTGAGGCCACTTGGAAGATAATGGCCCTCAGGTAAATTAAGGAAAACACGCATATTTTCAACACTAAAAACAGTACACATGTTGATGTTCATCAATATGTTGTATGAATGTAATATTTATTTTTTGCTAATAAAAAAGAAAAGACACTTAACCAAACCTATTCACTGTAACTTATTTTCTTAACAAAGAGTCACTTTGTGCCATATGTACACATTTCTATACTTTATAAACATTTCACACATTCTTTATCAATGTTATACAATGGTGAGACAATGGTACCAGGTACTCAGGGAGGCATGGTTGGCACAGAGTACCATGCATTCTCACTCCATGACATGATGCTTCCACTTTGCTTATCGTGTCATGTTTGTGCACACACAACACCAACATTCATGAACAAATCCACAAGGGCCGTGACGAGGATTTGAACCTGCATCCGGGAGCATCCCAGACACTGCCTTAATCGACTGAGCTACGACATTCATCCTTCTTTCTGATGCCAATACATGGTAGCCTAAGGTGATGGCTTTGAAGCAGTCTGGAGGTGCATGCACAGTGTCCTCTCATCTGCCAAGCCTGATTTGCATTAGTGTACCTCATTTCTTAAGCAGAGGATACACTAATGCATAACTAAACTCTTCAAGGGCTAATTTCGTGCCAGTTTTAGACTTGAATATATACAAAATATGCATCGAGGATTGAAACATCAATTGAGTCAGAAAAACTAATTTTTTGTACCATTTCATGATTTCTCATATTCACTCGACTGATATAATCTGCATGATCACCTTGCCAATCAAATAATGTTTATGGTACTTAAGACAAGCACCATGGAAGACAAGCATGTCTTCTAGTTTGAATATAGCATTGTTCATTCTGTAAATTAGTATATATGTAATATTAGAATATGAGTACTTCCAATAATTACTAAACATTTCATATGTGACTTGCTTGAAATGCTATGTGTGCTAGTGGCTGTACAAGAATGTAAGAACTCTTGTATATATAAATAAGAAAAAATAAGAAAAATATAGGTTGTCGAGAAATATTTCCAGCTACAGTATTCACAAAGCAAACTTTCCTCACTTCCTACATTGAAAGTCCACAACTCGATTTACACATAAATTATTGTGTGAATAACTTGATAACTCACATTCGGGTAAGATGATAAAAATACCCTAAGAGTGTTAAGTACGTTTTATATACTGTACCTTAAATATTGTGCTGTATTATTTATAAAATCCGTTTTCAAGACACTTTAATTCAGGCAGCCCTCAATTTGCAATGGACGTTTTATTCCTGTAAAGTCTATGTAAAGAAAAACTTCACTAAACAAATCTGATGGCACATTATATGGAATAAATAGGGATATGTTCCAGAGACCTTCAGAGTTAATCTTTTTTTCTAGCCACAAATAAAGTTCGAAATGCTTGGGATGTAATATGGTACAAGAATATATTTCAAAGAGTTTGCAACACACAATAAGTGTGGCAGGAGTGGGAGCCCGACTCGCTACCTAGATCGTAGTACATCAGTGACTTGTTTAATAATTCATGCTAAAAATTAATTGTATAAATTCATCCACATTTAATTCTTGGTATAAAAGGACTTGTCTGCAAACCACCAAATTTAAGTTCTCGCATACTGCATAAATTGTGGATTACAGTACTTGTAAACATGTTTAGTATTTGAAAAAATAATTATTTCTATTATATTTATGAACTTAGTTGTCATGCATATTCACAACAGTATACAGTATATATTTGCTTACTTCCAGGTAAGGTAGCAATCCAGGAAAGGGATTACTCGGTGAAAAATGTCAGTTATGAGATCTTCGGTATGGGTCAATATACTAGCATTGCTGTCAAAATAATGGATATTGATGAAGAAAATGTTAGTTTCCTCATAGTTCAGGCTCATTCTCAGAGTCGCTATCTGCTTCTTGGCCATGAACTGTAAGTATCAATTTATGTACAGTACAATGAAATTAGATTTTTTCTATCCAGTATATTAACTAAAGCTAATCATTTTTTTTTTTCATAAGATCTTTAGCTCCTTTGTGTTGGATATATTACTTTTATAAAATATCAAAGTTTGACCCTCCCTTCTCCTGGTGACCTCATTAGTAAACAAATTGGTGGAGAAATTAAGGGAGTAATGGTACCTTGATATTTGAAGGTACAATATTGGAATTTTTTAGGAATGTTTTGTCCATATTTTCTTCTTAGTTCGTGAATTGGATTATTTCGTTCCTTAAAACTTGACCAACGTGCGTTGTTTTAATGTTCCATTGGGCAGCCAGACAGCCCAAGTATAGTCCCTCCAGGGATACTGCCGAGCTAGGGTTACTGTCAACCTGGCAAAACGGTGTTGGTGACTCTGGAAGAAAATGGATGATGAATTGAGGCTGTATGCACTTAATATAAATTACATAAATGAGCGGGCAAAAGTGGGAAATTTGAAGAGCTAAGGCTTAGGGGAACTACTGAGGTGCTACTCAGAGAGGGAAATTTTTATTCCACTCTGTGCTCTATTTATGTAATAAAATAGTTTATTATGAAGATAAATATTAAAAATGGCCAAAGACTACATTAATTGTGTTTACTTAAAAATAATCAAATTTTTTATTTTTTAAATTTTAAAAATTTGGAAATAGTTTCAGTTATAATCTGTGTGTTTTTTATACAGTACTGGTACAGTATGTCACTTGCAACTCTAATAGTTATGTACCAATAATTTATTTCATACATATCATATTCAGTTCTAAGACAATAGGGTAACCTATTTTTAGAAATACCATCCTTAGCGGCCCTAAGTTAACTGTACTCAAGAACGACATTTTCAGATGTACATTTCTTTGAAAATTAGCCTTGAAACATAAGCATGGTTACTTAAAACTAGGTTTCAACAGAGAAACCAATTAACATAAATAATCACATAATATATTCGAAATATTTTTTATTCCTTTTTATTCTAAATCCCTTTCAGATTTATAAATTCTACTGCAGTCATTTTGATGGTATGATTGGAAAGATCAGATGTAGTTCTATAGTTTTATTTGAGGAAATTTCTAATTTACATTTTCAAGTAATAAAAAAAATCATAAATGTGGTGTTTTAAATTTTTTGTTATCCTAGAATCGTCTTCATAGAAAAAATGCTCAGACAAAATGTAATGCCTGGTGAGTACTGTGTTGTGTGAAAATTTCACCAAAATCAGATGAACATTTACAGATCGAAATCATAAAACCTAAAAGTTAGTGTTTTAATATTGAAGTTTTCTGCCAAAAATACAGCATCTGAAATTTTGAACAGTATCTATTTTAATTACTGTATATAACTTTTTAAATATTTTCCAATAATTTATATTTAGTTACCCTGATTTATGTTTTCATGGCAAAAATACAAAGCAGTATTGTAGGTGACAACTCATTATTAATACAAGATTTTCATGCTATTAAAAATCAAATTATAGTACATACTTAGATTTCTCTAATTTCTGAAATGCTGAATTTCAGAATTTCAATGTCTAATTGCTGAAATTGTAGCTAAAAATCTGGGCCTTAAAATGGCAATATAAAAAAAAAAAGTTACTCAAAATTAACTTGGGTTAATTTTACGGCCTTACAGGTTAATTGTAAAAAAATCTTAATTACTTTCAGAAACCCAGTTCCAGGGACTTACATTAATAGCACTAGTCCAGGACTGGTAGTGCATGTGGACAACTCATTCAGTCATTCACAGAAAAATGGAACACATCGTGTATTTCTCACCAATTGTCACGATAGAAATATTACAGTCCTATTCATTGTGCGGAATTACAGTAATTCTGGTAAGCGTCCGGGCCTTAAGGTCTCTCCTGTGTGTGTGTGTTCTCATTTCACCGAGTTCTAGGTATACTTAAGCTGTGCATATCACTGATCATTCCCCAAAATTATTCTGAGGGACTATTTTGTTTTTCTAACTTAATCGGTAATTCTTGGAAGTATCGTGGGATTTGAGTCTTTGCATTTTCAGTAAAGTATTAATATACAGTACAGTTAAACATTGTCAGCCTGGTGAGTTGAAAATTTATATTCAGAGAAAATACTGTTATTTTCAGTGGAGATGTGCAGGAATTTAATTAACTGCTTTCCCAAGTTCTTTATATAAATTTTACTTTTCACCTTACTTTTGATTTTGATTTTTTTAGTGTAAATAATATCAAAGTTAACAAGCCATTTGTAATTGATCTGGTTTTATATGTTTTTAGTATAAGTTATCTTATCTCTTCATATGTTGTTATCCAACACCTCGATATTTCTTCAATACAGAGCCAATTCCTGGCAATTACAAGGCTCCGTACAATCTCACGCAACCTTACCTGGCAATGGAGCCCAACATCCTGACAACAAAAGTAACTTACCGAGCTGCTTCCTATCCTGATCTGGAGCCCAGTCCCACTGAAGGACAACTCAAATATGAAACTTTTCTCACTTACATGTACGAGAGGGACTTGAGTGAGAAGAAATACTGGAATGCGCTGATTGCAACGAGTACTCTTAAAGGTCTCAGGGAACATGCTAAGTCTGTGAGTGAATAATATAGTTTGCAATTCTTTGTATACAATAAACTGTGTTAGCCATTTTTGTTTAAAATATCATGAATTTTTTTGTTTTGATGCTATCATCTAAGTTTTCCTTTATAGAATGATCAGGTAAGGAGTTAGTGACTTATCTGTTATCCATGCCAACAAACCAGTGGGTCCTAGAAGACTGACTGGGTATGGATATTATTGCTTTTAGGCCCAAAAAACGAATAAACGAATCGGTTAATTACTGAAGAAAAATTACAATTAAATTGACTATTTTATTAGTGTACTGTATCTGGCACATTATCCATGTGCCATAATGAAATATTAAAATACTTAATTCATATATTTTGGCATATTTTATTATTTTATTACAAAATTCAGTTATTGGTAATTTTTCTAATTGAGTCCCCTAAGTAACTTCGTGAGTTTACAAACTGGTACCATCAAGCTCCATACACCATGCCTCTTAGACCCCCAATGTCCAGCCCATCCTCCTGTTAAGGTAGTACTATAGTAACGATGAGGACCATCGTACGAATATTGATGTAAAAGGCAATTAGACAGTAGAAATCTGTACAGTACTATTGAATTTGGACAAACCGGGAAAAGATTTTGTATATACAGTATGTTGCAAATGAAATGTAAACTAACCTAACCTAGGCCTAATACATAATGTGAGGCCTAATATAGTACACATATATGTATGCTATACTAGGCCTATGAATATTTAACTTTGTTATTTAGCTATATTTTTTCAGACTATAAAGTGAATAGTACCAAATTCTACTGTCTAACTACCTTTTACATCAGTATATGTATGATGGTCCACATAGTTACAAAAAGTACTATATAAACAGGAGTATGAGTTGCAATGTCAGGAACTAAACTTCAAAGAATATCAAAGAGCAAGCCTCTTCCAGCATCCCTAAAGCCTATGACCTTTCCTCACCACAAGGGAGGAAGGCCAAGAGATGGAACCTATCCCTATTAGAATCTCAATAGGGAAGCATCCAAACTCTGGAAAGCAGATTTCATAGGCCTGTCCCAAAGCAAGGGACAGTAGCGCTGTTAGCTTGCCATATTCCCAAAGGGTGGCAACCCCCTCTGGGGATATGATGAAAGCTAGGAGTCCTACTGTCCTTTCTTCACCAGCATCATATCAATTGATGCTTGTGAGCCTGCAGCACAAAACCACTTAAAAGCCTGAACTGATGTAGGAGACTATGATGCCCAGGAAATTCAGATTAGCGAAAATTGGCCAGCCATGGCATAAGCAACAGAGAAAACCAGCTGATACTTGACACGCGTACAAAATTAGGCTCTCGGAAACATGCTCATAAAGCAGTGGTGATATCGGCATCAGCATCACCTGCCATAAACAGGGCATTGGTAGTACTGTGTGTGATTTGGGCTGCCATCTGCTGGCAAAGTGCATAACAGGCTATTTACTCTGCAGCAATAATTGTTTGCCATGTTAACTTTGAGGTGTCTAATTTACTTAAAAAGCATTCACTTGTTTTGTTGTGCCGGTGCTTTCTGATGGAATTTTTCTTAGATTTGAGTCACACTCTAATTCCCAAGCTCCCCTAAGCCTCTTAAAGTAAGCCAGAGTCTGATCTTGGAATGTAAAGTCAAGATTTGGTGGTACAGGATCAGCATATAACCTTGGGAAGCTTAGTGTATAAGCTCAGGAAAAGGGCATTTAATTACATTTAATGTTAGTATATAACTTATTGTCCGTGCCTTGGCGGTAACATACATCTGACTCGATGTATTTCAGCCAGCTCACTAATACTGTAATAGAAAAGTGACTATTTCTCAATATATGTTCAGTACGAGTTACTTGCTTTTAATGCTTATCGTGAGTACTGCTAAAATGGCCCTTTATTCCCTTCCAGTCATATACGGTACAGTATAATTTAGTTTTGTTCTTGGGAAAGCTAATGTTCGGTACTATACATACAGTACTTTAAAAGACTTTGCAGTCAGCATCATTATTAAAAGATAAATTAAGTGTTTGATGGTTGAACAGGTGGCAAGAGAGGAAAACAACAATACTAGTGAAGAGTTGAACAAGTGGTTCGTGTCGTACTCTGGGGTTGGAGCCGTCATCACTGTCGTTGTGTCTTGCAATAACTCTCAAGGAGCCCTCTACTCCTCTGCTGTCTCCTACGGTTGTGATTTTATTGATGCAGTACAGTACGAGTGTACAAAGCTAGGTTAGTGTATTGTGGGGTTTGTTGTTTGCAATGATCTAAATAATATTTAAAAAAATAGCTAACTGTTAATAATAATTTTTTAGTTTAATTTAAAGTTTGATAATGTGTGCATATCTCCCCCACTGAGCCAGACTGTTGTTGTGGCATCAATTAGTGACTACATATTGTTTGTGAATATGTAAAGGCAAAAGGTGAATATGTTAATTGATGTAACGAAGTAACCTAACAAGTAACATCAGTAATCAGATCTTTTGTATATCTTATTAATAAAAACTTATTAAAAATTATAATTATAACTACAAATTATAAATTAATATAAATTATAAATTATGATGAATTATAAATTATTTTAATTATTATTATTATAAATTATTAGTTATTATAAATTTGTATGAATTATAAATTAAAATGAGGTTCTTAAGCCAGGACTTTGCCTTAATAATAATAATAATAATAATAATAATAATAATAATATTATTATTATTATTATTATTAATACCCCCTCAAAAAATAATCCCTCCCTCAAATAAAAAATAATAATAATAATCATAATAATAATAATGTGCAAAAGTAATAGGTTGTCACTGCACTAAGTGTTTGGTCTGGAGATTACATTGATATGGTTCCCAGTCAAACCACATACTCATTTATTTTTATATACAGTGCCTTAATCTTTATCCCATTGAAAATCAACTTTATTAGGTCTATTTATTACACATCTAGTTACCTGTATTTTCACATCTACTGCCCGAAATGCTATGCATGTTGGTGGCTTTACAAGAATGTAAAAACATCAATGCTATGTACTCTCATAAACCCAATGTACCTTCTTGTTTATATATAAGTAAATCTCTCTTTTGTCCCAACAGTAACTCCATTGGCTAAATTGTTCTGTGCCTCGCTGCTGTTCATCGGCGGTATCCTGCTGTTCCTGGGTCATCGGTGGCTCAACTTCACGATGTTCACCTCGGGCTTCCTTTTCTTCTGGTGTGTTTTTTTTCTCATGTGTGCCCAAGACACATCGAGCAGTATCACCGGTGAGCTTATTTTCAATTATTTTTTTTTAAGTTATTGTATTTTACGTAGGGATTTTTGTTATTGTGATTCTATATTTTTAGCATCAATCATTTAAAAATACGGGCAGATAGATTGCTATTTTAGACTTCCGAATATGTTACATGATATTCGCATCGGAAGATGATGATGTATACATTTAAATGACTGAAATAAATCCTAACTATTAGCTAGGTAGTTTATTAACGAATGTAACATCAGTAATGTTATGGTTATTTTTTATTTTCAGCATTGGGATGGGGTACCTTAGTTGGAGCTATAGCTGGTGGTACTCTGTGGCTCGTTGGTTGGCATAAGTTCCAGCGACCTTTCCACTCGTCTCTCTTGATTATTGTCATAACTGTGATCTTTGTAGGGATGGTGGTCACACATTTTCTCAGATGTAAGTATTGCACTGTAAGGTAGTTACAAAACAATAATTGTGCCTGAATATTTTTTTGGTTTGCTCCATTATTCTTATTGTGTCCCTATATTATAATATTGTACATTAAAATCACAAGAACATGATCAGTCGGTGAATAAACATTGAGGAGAAGTTCAGGAACGTGGATTCGAGTCCATCAAACAGCCTCAGTATATATATATACTTTGAATACTGTAATTATATTTTGAGTTACATTATTATTTTACATACAGTATTTGTGTGTTTTGTAAATACTGTATGTGGGCTTTTTGTTTATTATGCCTCCTTTAGAATTTTTTATTTTTTTTTTCCCAGATGCCATTGCACCCAAAAGCACCAACCTTTCAGCATTTGTGGTGTTCCCAGTCTTCTTTGCTATCCTCATCATAGCCTACGCCATTGTTGATATCAAAAAGGTAACTTTTCTGGTGGTACATGGAGCCCTCGTTAATAATAATTTTAGATTTGATTTAACATTATGCTTGTTAACTTTTATAACTAAATTTAAAATAGAATGACTAGTTGGCACAGGTGCAATTAAATTGAAAACCTATTCAACATGAGTAATAGACAAAACTCAATTAAAAACCAAATCATAATGAAAGCAATATGCACAAGTCTAAGTCAAATTATGGACTGTATTGTAATTTCTAATTTGTGAATTTTTGAAGAATAATCTGTATTTTAGTGCTATATCCTAAAAATGTTTGTACACAAATAATATATTGCTGTGAATGTTTCTATATTTTTGTAAGATCATTCACATGAATATAAATACAGTCAGTCCTTGTGAGTCATTAGGGATGTATTATGAAAAAAATATCAGCAGCTGTCAAATCACTGATAATTAACTAATGGTTATACAGTACTGTATGTTAAAGGAGTGATGTATTCCAGAGAACTCCCATTTATCTGCTCCACCCACAATATAATACACACCTGGCTCTTATTACGAAGTGCTCTAATCAGAATAAAGATGATGTCATTCACATCAATGCTGTGGATGAGTAGGAGTGGAGAGAATTATCAGGGGGAAAGTACCAAGCCATTACGACTATATAGCACTTGGAAGGGGTCAGAATAAGGATTTGGGATGGGACGAGGGAAAGGAATGGAGCCAAACCACTTGGACGGTCGGGGATTGAACGTCGACTTGCATGAAGCGAATGTGGATGAGAGTAAACATACAGTATTTGTTTTCATTTCTTCATTCCGGGAATCTTTCGGTACAGCAGCAGCAGGGATTGTAAAACGTTTGGAAGATGTCATAATATAAAAATATAATGAAAAGCATGCCTAAGATAAGTGAAAATGCACACCAACTCTTGTTTAGTGGTCTTATTGCTCATGTTTAGTGAGATTTTGTATTAACTACCTTCTAAGTGATACAGTTTTGAACTCTGTGCATTGCAAGGGTATTATTATATAGTTTATATAGTAGTAACCCCCAGTACAGATCATATTTTGTTTATTGTATAGTACAGTGTTGTGCTACACAATGTATCAACTTTGTTTATACAGTATATTGTTCAGTTTAAAGTTACCTGCATAACATATTTCTAAGTATTAAGCTATTTCTATTTCTTTTCAGGTTCACATATTTTCATGTGTGATGCTGGGTTCATATGCATTTATAGTTCCTTTTGCATTTTATTTTGGGTCATCTCTAACATACATAGTGATAAATGTGATTGGACTCATGACCGTGGAAAACTACTCGGAGGCTGTGGGATATCCTCCTTTTCAAGTGTGTGGTAAGTATGATAAGAAAGAATTACACAGGTTATATGTAGTTATTCCTGGTAGCATAA